GTGTGTGTTTGTGTCTGTGTCTGTGTGTCCCCCAAATGACTATGCGTAACTTGTCCCATTTAGTAGGACATCTCATGTGTTTAGTGGTTTTCCCCAATGGTTATCCCATGTATAAAAAAGCAAAGAAACATATCAACTCGCATGTGTGGTTGTTTGCGTGTTTGCACGTTTTTTGTTGTTTCTTTCTTTCTTGCTTTCTTTCTTTCTTTCTTTCTTTCTTTCTTTCTTTCTGTCTTTCTCTCTTTCTTTCTTTCTTTCTTTCTTTCTTTCTTTCTTTCTTTCTTTCTTTCTTTCTTTCTTTCTTTCTTTCTTTCTTTCTTTCTTTCTTTCTTTGTGTGTGGATATTTGTGGTGTGCATGTGTGGATGTGCGGCGTGTGTGTTCTTTTTTGTGTGTTTTGTGAGCTCCTCCTTTTTTGGGCTGGTTTATTGAGCCTGAACCAAAAGGAACGCCGCCAGGACCTGCCCATCTGCAGCCTGCTGGAGGAACACTTCCCAGTGATCCAGGAGGACTTGTCAGACTCGGTGTCTACAGGTTCAGCTTGGCAGAGAAATCAATGGGTTTCCCACTGGCTTCAGAGGGTAGCAAAAGTGAAGTAGACTGATGGCTGTGTGAGTGACTCGGTGTCCTTGGTCAGGTTTTTGGATTTCACTAGCTTCACTTTGGTTCTAATCATTGGTCTTCTCTTTTTTCCGAAGGGCTCTTAGGCTCAAATGATTCAGTGCCTTCCACGAATCGGGTACGGTACGTTGTCCAAACCAGTTGGTTCTTTTGGTCTCAAGAAAAAGCCGGGGATCAACAAGGTGCTCCCTTGGCTGCCGCGTTCCTGGGGCATAGGAGTTAAGGAATCGGTTTCCTGCTGGAGTTGGATATTTTTCCCCCTCCCCAAGCAAGCAGGCAAGCGAACAAGCAAGCAAGCGCCCGCCCAAACACCCATCCTAAACACCCTAAACTCGCCTTAAACCACCCTGGACATACCCTAAACCTAAACCCACCCTGTTCAAGGTTGAGGCCGGCTTAGGGTTTGTTTAGAATGGGCTTAGGGTGAGTTTAGAGTAGGTGTTGGTTTTTACAGTTGGTGTAGGGCTTAGGGGGAGGTAGGTTTGAAGTGGCCCAGGGTGGGAATAGGGCTTATGGGTAGCTGAGATAGGGTAAGTTTAAGGTAGGTTTGGGGAAGTTTTAGTCTAGGTGTGTTAGGGTGGGTAGGTGTAGGGTAGGGGGTAGGTGCAGGGAAGGTGTAGGGTAGGCTTAGAGTAGTAAACCAACCCCACCAACCCTAAATCCATTTACTCCTACCTTGCAGGGCAGACTGGGTGCTGTTGTGTTGGAAAGGGAGGAACCCCCTGCGCAGACCACATTTGTGGGTTGCGGGCTAACATCCTTAAGCAAGCCCAAAGCGGTGTTTCATGTAAGGGCACGGATCGGTCTGCTTTAGAAGCTGGGTGTTGGCCAGGGAGCTGTGTGGGTACGGTGCCTGTTTCTGCTTCGGGTGCAAGGTGCTGTGGTGGTTGTCGGCGACGCTTATTTAATAATGTAATTAGTCAGGGCGCTGATCAGGGTGCTGTTTTGGTGTGCCAGAAGCACCAAGATGTTGATTGCTTACGACTAAGATTGTGCTTACCTGCAGCGAGCAGTGATTTGCACGTGCCTTATCAGCATCTCAATGCCGTTGCAATCATCATATGCTCTTGATAGTATTCTGGTGTTGTGAACGGATATGTTGCTTATGCGCTACCATCAGAGGATGATGCTGTCCTAAATCGTTTTTTTGTTAGCATTGGTTGGCATACAGCGGTTCCTGATTGTGGTATCGTCATGAGTCTGGCGGAATTAGTGGTTCGCCGCAGAAAGCGAGCAATTCCGGCCACAGCTTTTGTGTTATGTGATCTATGTTGGTGTAATAAATTGTTAGCTGGTTTGATCGATTTGCTGTTTTTGTTTGATTGCTTCTTTTGGGCTGACTGACTATTGGCTTGGTTTGCTTTGATTTCTTTGCTTGCTTGTTTTGTTTGTCTGCTTGTTTGTTGCATGTGTTGTTGGTTGTCTCTTGTCTTCTGGTTTGTGCGCTCGCATGATGTGTGTGTGTGTGTGTTTGTCTGCTCGGGTGGCCACCACCGTGCCCTGGAAAGAGTTCTGCCTTGTTTCGTCCTTATCGTAGCTGTAAGTCCTCGTCCGTCACCCCCCGGATGAGCCGTCCGGTCTGCACGGAAGCACCCGGAAGGAGACTGCGAGGGCCATGGCGGACGAGGCGTCCGCTGGCTTTGAGGAGCCTTTTGTGGAGTTCTGTTGGGGTTTCAACCCTAGAACACCGTTGCGTCCAACCTCAGAAAAGCAAAACCACAGCCAGCTGGTTTCATTTAAGCCCCAAAGAAGGCGCGCACACAAGCTAGGTCAAAACATGCAGGACATGGAGAACCCTGCAAATTCTTCACACAAGCATAGGGGAAAGAACAGTATGGCCCATGTCCATTGTAGTAACCACATATCTTGACCCTGGCTTGTGTGGCTGTGTGTTTTTTGGAGTTGGAAGCTGCCGAATTGCCGGCATTTGCTTGTGTTCATAGCGCCTTCTCCCACAGGGTCCATTCTTCCACGCCGCGTGTCACTAAAAGTAGATTCATCCAACGCTGGTCTGTTGGTTCAATGTCAATCCCTGCTGGGAGATGCATTTGGGTAAGCCCAAATCCACCAAATTGAGCGCCGTCGCCATCGTTCTCTTTAAAAGCCACCGCCTTTTTGAAGAGATGGTTCCGTGAAGAGAATGGGGAGGGTACCGCCGGAAAAGCAGGAGAGCGCCACTCCCGCCGTTTTTTTTGTCTGTTTGTTTTGTCTTTTTCCGGAAAAAAATAAGCATCTCGGAGGACGCCTACCGCTTTCTCTACGAGAAGGGCGAGTGGAATCGGGTGCTGCTGTACCACGGCCGCAAGTTCACGGAGGAGTGCGCGGGGCCCAGCGGAAGCCCAGCGGAAGCCCCGCGGCCGCGTCGTGGATTCGAGAGAAATGTTCGGTTTCCTGGTGGCGGTGGCGAAGCCATCCGGTTCCTTAGCCTTTTAGATCCTTGTAGCTTTTTAGTGTTTAGTGGTACTTTCCGTTTTTAAGCCACGAAGAGTTATTCACTTTTAGCGGGGGATCTGAGGGCAGCCCGGGTTTGTCCGGTGTGGTGCCCGTCCGTGCGACCAGTCTTAGCTTGCAAATGAGCTGTGCAAGGCAAGTCAAGTAGACATACAGCAGGATTCCGGGTACACACCGATGAGGAAAAAAGAAGCATGAGAACATGCCATGATAAAACAGAAGATCACGCACCTCCTATTTGGCCCATCAAGTTCTGAGGTGATGTTTCTTGAGGTGTTTTGGGAGTGTTCTCAAACAGGGACTCGTTCTGATTGGTGGTCTGCTAAAGTGAGACCGAATCTGAGCCAACAGTTTTAGGGGTCCCGAACCCCTTTTTTGACGCATACCCGTGTCATGTTGGTAACAATACAAAGGGGTGTTGTTTGAGGCTCGGAACACTTTTTGCGGTAACGAATCAAAACCAGTGCTTGCCACTGTAGGAAACACGGAAACCATGGTGAAGCCTAGAGTCCTAGAGCTAGGGATCCTGAAGGCTTATGGCTTGCACTGAGAAAGGGAAAACCGAGTTCGCCGCACCCATCTGCGACGCGAGGCGATCGGGTCTTCCCAAAGACCTGCGCTCTCTTGAGGCGGGACCGCACGATACCCCACTCCCCCCACCCCAGACTCGCATCCTTCTTGTGTAGGGAGGGTCTACACCCTCTTCAAACTCAACTGCCGGTTCATTTTTATGTTATGTTGTTTTTTTTTCCCGGAGGGGAAGCTCCCTTGAACATCTGCCAACAAAGGTTTCACTCTGTTTGTCCATCGAAATCCTTCATTCTGGATTTGGGCAGGGAGACTTTCTCAACACGCGGGGAGCCGGATCGAGTTCTTGAGAGTTGAGTTCCCTTACTCCAAACATTCCAACTGAAAAGGATGGCCCAAGCACAGGCACACCAAAAAGGTACCAAAACAGCGGACTGCGCCAGTGCATGTGTTGCTATGTGTTTGAACTGGTGTAAATTGCGTGGCGTTGTGTCGTGTTGAGGTATGTAGTAAATGCGTGTTTTGTCTGTTGCTCTTCTGGATGCCAGTGTGTCCAAAAAACCAAACAATCTTGAACAAACAAAAGAAGCAAAGCAAACAAAAGAACCAAGAAACACAGTTTGAGACTAAGCCCAGCAAACAAAGCTCGAGAGAACCAAGAAAGTGGTACCCTGCTTGGCAACATAATGGCCGCGAAATGGATTGGGACCAGTGCGATGTCCTTCCACAGCCCAGTAAATAAGTTTTATTTGCGTCGCGAGGGCAGTGCCCAATAGTTCATAGACGGTGAGATATCTAAGCGTGCAGTTGGTGGCAATCCTGACGTGTCTTGTGCTCGCTTCTGGTGTCGTCCTGCTTCGGAAATGGGTCGCTTTTAGCCCACCAAGAATCGAAAGATGTTTTTGCATGGTGTCGTTTTACCTGTTTTCGTTGCATGATGTTCTTTGCTGCGATTTGAGAGACTCATGGTAAGTGTCATTGTATCTTGTAGTTCCCCTTCCTAAGCGCATGCTAGCTCAATCCAAAGCGTCGCTGTTTACAATTCAGCTCACATCACTCAAAGTGCATTGCAGCTCAAACCCAGGCAACGGTTCGGACGGACTGGATGGGCTTTCTGGCCACTTGTTTAAGCAGTTAATCTCGCTTTGGAGCTGGTATTTCCCTTTGGTTGCTGTTGTGTTTAGGATTCCCAATCAACGGATGTTTTCAAACACCACACATGCGGGGTGTCGTTTTTGAGGGTACCCCTTTTCTGGCGGTTAAAGGCTGTTGGATTCGTTGTTTGAGGGTATCGCGAAGTGGTCACCGCAGAAAGAAACTCTGCAGTCAACATAAAACCCCACCCTAACCCTAAACCTAAACCAAGCCCTCAAAACCCCTCAACCCACCGACCCCCCCCCTAGCGCCAGCCGCCCTTGCAGAGGCAGTGGCTTCCATCCAAGCCGGGGCTGCCCTGGACCTCCGACCAGAACGAGCAGGCATGTCCTTCAGGTAGAACATGGGGGTTCGACTGAGCCGGTTCCAGCTTTCACCGAAGGAGAATCACGTGTGTAAACAGGTGGGACCAAAAAAAAGCTAGAACCCATTTGGCAGAACCTTCATTTTTTGATCGCCGAACAATTGAGCGCCGGATTTTCCAGGCTTTGAGGCAGTTGGGATGGCTTGAAAGTGAAAGGCAAGCTGCGTACTTGCCACGGGAAGAGGAAAACTGGGAAGGCGAGCCCGGCCAGGGACACCCATGTCGTTTCACTTGCACTGGGCAAGTGATACTGTGGATGGGCAGAATCCTGCACACCGTAAGAAACCCCGGAATGATGGCTCCTCCTGTAAATACCCGCAAACCATGGGTGCCCATGGTTTCATTTCGTGATGCAGGATGTCGTCCATCCACAGTATGCTCTCTTCGCCGGCAAGCAGATCATTTGTGTTGCCCTTGCTTGAGCTGGCAAATATTTCCCCAGGTTTCAGGATCCAGCTTTGAGATTTTTCGGGGAGTTGGACGGGAAGGAAGCAAACAATTGATGGGTTCCTGGTTTCAATTGATGTTATCCCTGTGGGTTTGACTTTTTCGGCAGTCTTCTGACTGGCACCATGGATGGCTTGAGGGCTGGTTGACGAGTCCGATGGGAACTGGAGGTAATACCTGATGCAGTCTGCGAATCGACCTTCAAGCCTTTCCGGAGTTCTTTAAGTGGCACAGGTGAACCTGTTCCTTTCCAAATTGCGCAAGGATGCCTCGTCCCTCGACTTTAAGCCGATGTGAGCGATGGCTCTTGATCGTTTGGTGCATCGCCTGAACTGCACTGCACACAAAGACGCGCGTAGGTGATGGTCATCAAGATGAAGCAAGGCACTGACGCCAGGCTCCCAGTGCTCAGTGACATTTCAATCAGATTTCGTTGTGTGGCATTCTTCTTCTCCTGCTTGCTTCTGTTTGCTTACATGCCTGCATGACATGCTTACATGTCCTCATGCAGTGCATGCTTACATGTGCTCATGCATTGCATGCCTGCTGGCTTGATCAGCCAGTCTGCAGAGGCAATCACTCTGCAAGTTCCTGTGTTCAGTGTGATGGCCGTGCGTCAAGCGACTTTGTTTTCGGCGGTCCCATCTCGACCTGCGAACTTCCACCTGTCTTTCGGGGCGAAAGGCAGTGTCATTGCTGAAGTTGTACGATATCCAACCTGCAACTCACTTTGGTTAAACTCTGGTTCTTGCTAGGATTGACTACTGATTTCCATATTATGGGCGCTCAAAAACGACACACCCATATTGCATTCGTTTCAAGACAAGCTTGCTCGCTGGAGTGTCTCTCTTGCTTTAGCAAGTACTGCCAGTGGTTCCCACCATTGTTGCGCGCTAACTGCCGTCCAAGGATTCGTGGCAGTGATTGCAGAATGTCACGGGGCAATTTTTGTTGCACCAGTTCCGAGCATTCCCAAAGTCCAGCAATTCCGAGAAAGGCCCAAATGGTGCGCCAAGACAGAGATCAAAAGACGCAGAACACGCCAAGGAAGCCACAGCACACCCCTCAAAGCGGTCTTGGCCGGCCGGGTGTTCTGTTCCTTCGAGTCTTGCATCGAGCCCGTCGAGATCCAAGGTGGTTTTGAAGGTACCCTCCCAGCATGGAACCTCGGGGAGTCCTCGAAGACCTTCTCGCTAAGAGGTCCCATGTTCATTGGCGGGGGGGTAGCCTTTTGTTGGGTTGGGGTTTGGGAAGCGAGGATCGATGCCTTGCTCGAAACACTAGGTCGAGACCCACAGCGGCCCGGCCAATAATATTCTCAACATCCACTTGGGCATCTCCGGACTGGAGGCCGGGGAAAGCATCGGCGCCCGGTCCTTCGGGTTTCGAACCGGGATGTCAAACAGCAAGTTGAGGCATTTCTTGGGCTGCAAACTGAGGCTCATGTTTTAAAGCCTTCGGCCCAAGTCCTTCCAGACAGGGTGAGGCGGAGACAGCTAGAGCTTGGGACACCCGGGTGCACGCCATGGACAATCGCATCTTTGGAAGGCCGATCCAGGCCGGGTTGCCACTGGATGGGGTCTTCGACATCCGTCGTGGTGAGGATGGTTTTCTACTTGGCCACCGCGTGCCTGACAGACTTGCTGTTGGGATCCAAGCTGACGGTTTATTCGATGGCCGATACACCCTGTATGGTTTTCAGACCCTTCCGCTGGATCCGCCGGTCATCGCTGCCACTGAGGAGTCGTGGGCCGTTCGAACTGCCTTTGATCCGGAGCACCCTTCGCCGTACATCATGGAGCTCTGTGCTGGTTTCGGAGTAATGGGCATCGGGTCCAGCTTCTTGGGGGGCCAGACGCTGATCAGCGTGGACATTAGTGAGCTCGCCATCGGCCACCTTCGGCAATCACGAATAACAAGCAGGTCAAAATGGACATCAACGCGAATGATGCGCCAATCCGCATCCACCAGGTGACGCAAGGTTCAGCACCCACGGCCACCATGGGATTCCCCTGTCAACCATACTCCGAACAGGGTCATCGATTGGGAACCTTGGATCCTCGCTCCAAGACGCTGTGGGGCGGCTTGAGGGTGATCTTCATGACGCAATGCCAGTCTGCCATTCTGGAATGTGTACCACGGGCAGGTCGACGCCCTGAAGTCCAGAAAGCTATTCACAGCCTCGCATCAGCCATGTCGTTCTCCAAAGCGACCTAGAATTGGTACACCAATGGCCGAGCCGCAGAAGAAGATGGTGGGCGATCCTTATGCCAGCTTCATGGTAAACTGCGGGTTTTTCCACGTGGCCCAGCCAGTACCTCAATGTCGGCACCGTCTTTGGCCACTTCACCCACTGGGATGACCACGATGAGATGGACCTTCGACTCAACCAGACCGAGATCAACAAATTCGAAGACCGCGCCTACGGCAACGACAAGCGCAAGCTGGAGGAAAGCGACGTTGCAGCGGCTCTGCTACATTCGTATGCCAACGGGACCTCTCCATGCTCATGCCACTGTCGCCTGCAGGCCTTCTCAGAAACAAGCCTACGAAGCAAAGGTCTCAGAGGGTACTACATCCAGGTTGAAGAAGATGAACCTCCTCGGTTCCTTCATCATCGTGAAGCCGCGCTACTTCTTGGAGTCCCAGATGACCTCATTTACACTTTCACGCCGAGGGAGAACCTTTGCCTCCTGGGCCTCATAGCTTCACCCATCCAGATGGTGTATGTCTACAGCACTCTGCTCTTCAACTGTGCCCACACCATCTCCAACCAACCAGTCCTTCACCCTCTCACTGCGGTCCGCATGTACCAGACCCGCTTGCTTCAACTTTGGCAAAAGCAAGTCCCTCGACCCATCAGCCTCATCCATCACCTCTCGAACGAACAGGATGACGTGGGCCCCTACGGCGCCGCAGCTCTTCTACCTCTTGAAGCACGACAATTCTGCCACGCCGAGCGCATCAGTGCAGAATGGGGAAGCAAACAATTCGTCTGGAAAACCAACCAAGAAAGGCAGCCGTCCTACGTCTCCACCCCATTACACAACCAGCTCAGAACGGACGTGCTGTACAAGACTACATCAACTGCCAAGAAACAGCAAACAAGCCCACCAACGGAAGCCATCCTTATCACGCTGACGCACTTCCAGCACACCATGACCACGGCCATCTACCCGGGCCAATTCATCTTCGAAGCCCTCCGGAAATGCAACATCCACGATGTGAATTTTGTTCTTGACGAAAGGGGCGTCATCTACGGAGGGGATCTACGCCTTTGGCATCCAGGCACATTCACTACCATCCGACAAGGAACCTTTGGCGCTCCCGCCTCCCTCATCACCTCCTGTAAACAATCCAAGGCCGACAACCTGGGCCTATCCGATGGCCACATTCGCGACAACATTCAAGTCCTACCAGCAGGCTGGCTGCCACCACCTATCTTGATACTGGACCCGATCGCTGCTATTTGCACCCTCAATCACCTCTACAAGCCACAATACCACAACTATGCCCAGATCAGGGGCCTGCACACCCTTCACACTCAGATCATCACAATCTTTGCGGCGAAGCAACATTGGGCTTTGCTGATCGGCACCATCAATCAGGACGCCATCTCATGGGTCTACTACGATGGACTCGGACCTTGGATCCAGGACGAGGCGCACTCCGTGGCTTCCTATCTCACACATGGCCTCGCCTTCGACAAGTTCTTTGAAATCCACATGCACTACCAACAGAACGAGCCCTTCACATGCGGCGCCATTGCGCTACTTCATCTCCAGCAGGCGCTCGGACGTGCTGATCAACTGCAATCCTCCGATATCCTCAACATCCACTTTCAACTCCTGCAATCACCCACCACCAGGCCGTTGTTCTTCGGACTCGGACCAAGCATCTCAGAGATGATGCAGCAGCTCATCACGATCCTCGAAAGCAAAGGGGTACCCGCAGACCAATCCAAATCTCGAGCTCAGCAAGTTCTCGAACGGATTGGACCTATATCCACCCAGAAGGCACTCTCTAACCGGGCACCCTGGACTGAGCTCAAAGCGGCAGCGAGCATGCCCAAGATCATGTTACACCTTGTCCTACCATCAGAGCTTTCCGCACATGTCAACCACAAGGCGGACATCAAGTTCGGCGCCGACAGCACGAGCAGCGCCAAGAAGAAGCTCCGGAAAGACAAAAAGCCGCCAGCGTCTGCCACACAGATCGACCCCGACAGCCTTGAACTATATGAAGGCATGTTTGTCGATGATGAGGGCGCCTATGTCCCGCACATCCAATAAGACAATGTTGTCGCGGACAACAGGGGCATTGCTATCTGCAGTGCCACACAAGCACACCCTTTCCTCAATCAACACCACCACGTCAGCACCAATGCCCTTGCGATCATCATCATTCACCTGACTGAAGCCGAGATCCAGGATGAGATGCTCTTGGACCACATCCTCTTCCCTGCCCGCTACAAATGCACCGGGGAACCGGTTCTCCTGGCAGGAGGTCTCCTTCAACTTGGGGACATTAGTGTCTCCAGGAAGCAAACATCCATCAACACCGACCTCGACATTGTCGACACGCGGGTCATGCGCGTTCAGATCTACCAGGACTTGATCCCCAACTGGCAGGATTTCATCACTGCTCCCATCAAAGAGCTGATCAACATCGCTCCAGCACTCAAGAAATGCTCGGACCCCGGCTGTCTCAGCGGCGCCTTTGCGGAGTGTCCTTACTCCCATCCGGCCATCGATGAGACCTTCGATCAAGTTCTGCTTGAAATCTGGGCACGCAACTTCAACCAGGCTGACGGCAAGAAGACCACCCCAGACAAGGCCGATTCCTTCAGCGCCTTCCTCCGGGTCCCCAGTTCCACCGTCAAAGGCACCCTCTCCAACCAGCCCAAAGGCGCATTCTTTGAGCCGAGGCTTGAGGACAGACAAGGTCCAGACCCGCAGTACAAGGTCATCTGGATGCCTGGACAAAACTACGAGGGAGCCCTTCACCAAGCGAAGACCTTCTCACACACCATCTGCATGATGCGGATCAAACAGCGTTCTGGGGTCCGGGTCCTTGCCAAGCACGAGGAGGCGGCACACAAGCAATTGAGGCCAGGGATCACCTACTCCGGCATCGATGCCACCCGGGTCTTTCGGCTAATGCCCCTGCCACATGGCACACATAGGGGCGCTGTTGAGAACCTTCTTCAGCAGTGGAACTGGCCAGCTCGCCCCTTACAACCCGGCAAAGGTGGCCCCGGCGCAATGTCGTGGACAGTTGGCTGGGACATCCACAGCGCCACCATGCAGTGTCCTTCCTGGACCAAACTCCGATGTCCTGGTCAGTGAGATCACTTCACCTGCAAAGGAACAGAACAAGCGCACCGTCCTCGCCTTCAAACGTACACAGCAGATGGAATGTCCACAACCTCCGCATCCTCCACAACCGACCCTTGGCAGGACCCTTCGAAGGACCCTTGGGGCCGATCCTCGACCAAGCCCAAAGCAGCAGCGCCGGCATCTCTAGCACCATGCTCATCACTTCAGTCACACATGAAAAAGAGCTTCAAGCTCTCCAAACCGCCCACCCGGCCACTCCCAACCAGACCAACCCTGAGACCGAGCAGCGCCTTGTAGCCCTTGAATGCAGCGTCACAGAGATCAAGGGGCAGAACGCTCAATTCTCCCAATGGTTCACGCAGATTGGGAACCAACAGACACATCTGGAACAGAATCTGCAGGCAGTCCAACAGCAGACCCAGCAGAATCTTGTTGATATGCAGCAACTCAATGCCGGCATGCACAACGTGCGCTCTGAGCTCGGCAGCCGGTTTGATGGTCTTGAGGCGATGCTTGCCAAGCGCCTCCGGATCGACGAGCCCTGACTACACCATCGCAGGGCCGGGAGGCGGCGTCTCGGCACGCTGCGACATCTACATCGCCGCACTTTCTCTTTGCTCTCCATCGCATACCACGTCTTTTCTTTCCAGTGGGCCACTGTTGCAGCACAAGCCACCACCCTTGCCTGGCATTTCCAGCACAGGGCGGAGGTGACAGACTGGGACCGCATTTGTACAAGCTTTCATGCCTACGCATCATTTTGAGATCCCTTCCCTCACACCACAGCCTGGATATGATCAGTTCGACGCTTCAAGTGGAGCCGATGGGTACCACAAACTGGATCTGCTGAATATGCCGGCCCCCATGATCACGGCTTTGCTCTCTCTTTTTGACGCAATCGAACACGGGCAAAGAGACTGGCCAACACAACCCTCTCGCCCACAAGCTTCATACGCTTCCTTCAGTTTTCTGGCCCAACTTGCTACACGGTGACCTCAGTTGCAAATTTTCAGACGTGCGCTTGGCGAAGTTTCGTACCCAGGCCATCAAGGCATTGCGCATTCAGCATGGAGCAATCCTATTTTGAGGCTGTCTCTTTCCCATCCGGCACAGGCTGGCCCTGGCTTCTACCAAATTCACCGCGGTATCCACGACTTCAGACGCCTCTGTCACAAGACTCCTGAATTAGTGGAGGGGTGGAAAACCTTTTTCACCCTCACACAAGGAGAGCAACTGGCTGGTCCTTTTCACAAGCTGATTGCCTTTTTCAGCAAACTGCAATGGACAATGTTGCACCCCCCAATGTTTCAGGACCATGACGGACTGGTATTGGATTTGCTGGCAGTGGACAATTACGCATTGGATGCAATTTTGCAAGATGCCTGGATGCAGTATGTTTGCAGAGCAGTTCAGCACCGCAAAACCTGCCGTGATTTGGACGGCATCGGCCGCGACCTTACATTGCATGGGCTCACTGACCTCTCGCACCTGCAGTCGGCACAGACTTTTTGCATTATTTCGAACTGGCAGCAGTCAAAGTTTGATCCGTCTAAAGAGCCTTTTTGCGCCCGTTGCCAGACTCCCGACACCCAACTCCATTGGCTTTCATGCCCCGTTTATTCGGACCTTCGTACAGATTGCCTGGACATCATGCTTTGGGAGCGCACACACTGCCGAGCAGCTTTCTACAACACCTGCTGGTTCCGCGGTCCCCTTATCTTGGGGAACCAAGCAGGCTTTGTTGGATATACCGGCACACACAGTCTTCCATTCAGGCCCCTCGGACGGACTGCAACATGTATTCACAGACGGCAGCTGTATCCCGTTTGCCGAATGTTCCGTATCCACTGCTTCCTGGGCGGTCATCAACGCCACTTCGGGAGAGGCTATATCAGGCGGCCAACCACATGGCCTCTCCCAGACCATTGCGCGTGCCGAGCTCACAGCAGTAATAGCCGCCGTGGAATGGCGGCTATTACTCTCAATCCACGGTCAACGCAACGCGAGCGATATTGGCAGGGGACGAACAATGCCTACACGGCACACCGGATAACCACGACCTTCATCAGTGGCTGCACTCAATTTCCAGTACATTGCAGGCTGATACAGTCAGTATACACTGGATCCCTTCGCATCTGGATCACCTACAGTGCAGTTCAGTTTTTGAGGAGTGGGTGTGCACTTGGAACGACATTGTCGACAAAGCTGCTTCGCACATCAATATACATCGACCGCCCAAACTGATGCGGCTTCTACACCAGGAGCAAGAGAGACAGCGCACTTGGAAACATAGACTCCGGACGCTACGCAGCTACTATCTTGCAGTCGCACAGCTTCGGCGGGAAGCAGGTCCGGATGAACAGCAGCTTGAAACCGAAGAGGTTGAGCTACCTTTTGACTGGTCTTTAATCGCCGCACCAGGCAGTCTCGTCGAGAATTTGCCCTTGAATTGGCAGTTTCAGATCAGCAGAACACAGCTTGCCGCTCCGATCGAATGTTTCGAATCCTTGGTTTGGCAGTTGACGGAATGGGACGATCATGCGTACAATTTTGAGGCCATCTCCGTATTGGAGCTGACCTTGCTTCTCATCACCGAAGCAGACCTGGCATATCCGTTGCGTACCCCTGAGGGACACTTCAAGTTGCAACGGTTGGGTGATTTTTTTGCGCGACCTACATTGGCGAGCCTTTCCAGGCACACCGGCATGTGTCTTCGCAGCCTTGGCAGTGCGTTTAGCTTGGATCGGTATATGCTCTGCAAGCATAACCGCACCTCTGTTGGCATTTTCATTCCGGTTGAGTCTGTCATCATCAGGCTCCCGGAACCCCTTAAAGCAGCGGCTCATCGCCGCTTGCTCGAATTCACCGGAGGGAAGGGCGTCAGGAAAGCCGCTGACGTTGCAAGGCCCCTCTCTGGTGGCTGAAGACGCGAGCAGGGCGCCACACCGCTCACGCTGTGTGCGCTCGACCGTTGGTCCGAGATAAAGCGGAAATCTTCGCAACCCCGTGCTCGCACTTTTTGGACAAGTGGGATGTCCCAAGCCTTCAACTTGCCGGTGCCCGGATAGCGCCTGAGCAGCATGATCCTACTGTGGGTGGACGAAAATCGGTTCAAAGCACGACATGAAACCATGGTTGAACCCCTTGTTTGCTGGTATTGGCAGGGGAATCGAATCATCCCAGGGATTCTTCAGTGGTCCACGTGGTGAGGGATTTGCCCATCCACAGTATGAATTATTCTGGTTTGGTACCCCCGCAGCCCCCATTTATTCATCGCTCAGGTTGTCCGCCTTGCAGTACTCCTTCCTTTTACATTGGGACCATGTGCGGCATTTCAATGGGCAATGGTCTCGTGCTTTTTTATAATTTGATCGGTCACAATGTTTGTTTTGAACAACCAGTTGTTCGACCCCTGGCTGCTGTTAAAGGCAGATCCCGTTTTGAGCCCTGAGGCTTCATCTTTGGCCGCTCAAGCTCAATTGGCCATCAAGGGGCCATCGCGAGCGAACATTCTACAGATGTCAAATTCGCATGGGTATGAATTTCAATTGGGGACCTTGGTGGACATCAACATTCGGGATTGATGTCCACCAACCATTTGGGAAGGGGTTCCAACCGTTCAAATTCATTTCCGATAACCACATCTCAGCGTGCAAGCTGGACCTGTTCTCTTCCCGTGCGAGAGATCCAAGAAGCCTGACTGGCCCCTTTACAAACTCCCATTTACCGCCGGTTTGGATTTGTCCTTTTGGAGAACCAAAAAAAACGTAAAATCCGGGAGCGGGGGAGGGTGGGGGGCAGGGCGCCAAGCTCTTTGTCGCCAACGAGACCTACACGTGGGAGGAGGGCAAGGCGAATCGATCAAGTTTGTCACCGTTTTGTTGCTTTTCATTGGTCGTTAAACGGGGTTGTTGCCTTTGGAGTTGGCACCCCCCTTTTTGGTGGGTTGTTCAAAGGGAAACCAAAAAGAAAACCATGTGTTGATGTCCCCTAAAACAACAAACCCGAGTGGGGAACCCTTTTCACGTAGCCCTTTGGTGGTTTGGAGTAAATTGTGGGGACTTGAATCTCAGTCACTGAAGGATAAACAAGCTCAATTGATGGTTTGGATTAGCATTTTTTGGATTGGGGATTCATTTAGGTCACAGTTTCCGAAGCCAAATTGGGGTTTCGAAGCGCCCCGTCCAACCAAACCAAGCAACCGCCCAAAAAAGATGACCTTTGATTGATTGAAAATAGATGGGCTCCCCTTGTTTCACTTTGGTCTTTGTCAACCAGTGCCATCAATGTTGCCAAAATGACACCCAGGATTGGGACCCCCCTTTTGCGTGGCAGGTGTCAACAGAAACCAAAGGGGCACATTTCAGGGATCCATTTCCTATTTTCGCATGGCTTGAGCTTGGCGGTCGCCAGTTGCTTCGCATTTCACATGCATTTGATGAACATAATGGTTGACCCAATTTGGATGACAACCCTGAGGTCTGCAATGGTGGTTTTATGAGTCCCATTGTTTCAATGGTGGTTTGAACCCTCAGGGGTTTGGTTGTTGCGTGCTTGTTTTCTTGGAGCTGCGTTGATTTTGCACGAGTTGCTTCAAGTGCTTTCCGGCTTGCTCGTCCGGTTCAGGCCTTCGCCTGCGATGTCGGAAACCCACGGAGAAACCCACTGGGGAGCCTTTAACAGCTGCCAAGAAAACGCCCCATTTCAGGAGGAGATAGGTCAAGTCCAGCGCATAGGGTTTGGTCGCTTTGGTCTGGGGTTGGAAAGAATGTGCAAAATTGCAAATGCTCAATTGTTTCGCAAACTGCCTCGACCTCCTCCTCAACCACTGGTTTTTGGAAGAATTACAAAGAACTTGCAAAGGCTCACAATGGTTTCAACCTTGCGGTTTTCCCTAGACCCGAATTCAACTCAGGTCTTGGTTGTTCCAGGCATCCGCGGGTGTTTGGCCAAGCGCGTGCACGGATCCGTTTTCGTCTTTGGATCGGCAGGTCATCGCTTGGGATGGCAGCCTGCGGCTGAGAAAACTTGAGGATCCGCATGTTGAGACGGCTCGCTCTGTCGCAGTTTTCGAGCTCCGGAAATGATCTTTGGCCCAACGGGGCTTCGTGTTTTGGTTGGGTTTTGTTCCCATTTGCTGAGCGGGACCGAGAAACCATTGGTTTGTGTGGTGTTTTCATTTACTAGGCGCTGAGAAACTATATGGCCATGAATTTAGATTCAAAAGTGGCTGGTGGACACAAATCGCCATGTGAAGGATGTTCACCAAACAGTCCTTGGTGTTTTCGTGGATGGATTGTTCTTCACCCGGCCAGAGGGTTTGGGCACCATAAGCACACCGGCATCACTTGTTCCCCCCTCCCAGGGAGGGTGTTTCTCAGAACATGTTTCTTTTGAATTTCGTTGGGCTCGGTTTAAAGGGAAACCACATGGAGTTGGGGTGAGTCACGACCCGAGGCTATGACCACCGTGTGCACTGCCTGGACTGCAAGGAGACCAGAGCCTGGTTCCCATCGCGTTTCGAGTGTCCGAATCATTCGGAGATGGGCTCGTCTTTGGGACGGATAATTAGCCCTTTTGAAAGGCAGCCCAAAGAAAAGGCACCATTGCTGTGGTGCCCCAATTTTGTGCCAAACCCCCCTTCTTCCTCTTTTTTTCTCCCCCGGGCGGGGGGGGGGGGAAGCCGGATCCTTTGGAATCTCAATGGGTCTCAAGCGGAAACTCAAGGAACATAGTTTTGAACTGAGGAACAGCAAGTTTCATGATTGGGCCCTGGTTAGGGTTAGTTGCCCATGCATATTTGAATACATAGTGTTGATTTGCATTTTGCGTAGGGTCGGCAAAGATTATTTTTAAAGCACCCAATTCAAACAAATTTGACTGCTACTAATTTATTTATCGTGTTTTGCGTAGCAGCTTAGCATCTCGTCAAGGAAAGGTTGGTGGTCCAGCTAATTCAACTTGACTGGGAGTTTGCTGCCCGCTTTGGGCCTTTTCGGAAGAGAGGGCCTTTATGCCATAGGAAGAGGTCACCGCCCAGAGCATGAGGATCTCAGAAAGCATGAAAGCATTGGAGCGTCTCGTACTTTGTGACGCAACTTCTGGTCGGCCTGGCTTGTCTTGGGCGAAATGAGCTCCCAGCTGTTCAGAGAGCGGCACGCTTCTTTGGTAGACGTTTGCCCTTTTTAAAGCTCTGTTGCTTTGGTTTGGTTTTGTTTGGTGCCCTTTTTCTTGGGTTTGGTTTGGTTTCTTTGGTTTGATGCCCTTCTTTGGTTTGGTTCCAAGTAGGTTGGGGGAATTCACCTCACTTCGCCAGTTTCGGGGCTGTCTACTTTTGGTTGCCATGGTCATGCTCTGGGACCAAGTCAGCCGAAACGCAACAAGGCTGGACCTTCTACTTTTTGGTTTAGTGGTAAGCGAAAGTGCGGACTTTTTTGTTGGGCCAATGCACTCCGGAGGTGTTTCACCGGCCAGCAAAAGGCAACTTGTTGTGGGGGATTGAATTCAACCATCCTAGGCATTTGATTTGCACCCGCAGAGGTACAACTTGCAAGCTGAAACTGACTTCTGATTTCGCCCGAAACTCATGACTGGGTGCAATCGAGGGTCCTAGATTTACCGGACCTTGAAAGCCAACAGTTTGTTTTCTTGATGCTTGCAGGGCACATAGAAACCGTGTTCTGCAAGACCCTCAGAGTTGCAGATGTTCGACCTCTGAGGTCATCATGATGGTGAGGTACATGCATCCAGACATGTCGCCTGCACACTACAAGGCGGGACGGGAGTTCCCATCTGGATGCAAGGCGTCGCCGCTTCGTTCATTCGGGGGGCAAGCGAAAAAGGCGCAAGGCGCAAGCAGGTTCAGCCAACTGGACTTGGTGGCTCCCAGCCATCCGGTTCCTTAGCCTTTTAGCTTTTTAGTGTTTAGTGGTAGTTTCCATTTCACCCACTAAAAGTTAGACTTAGCCGGGGATCTGAGGGCAGCCCAGTGGAAAGAGGCGGTTTCTGGTAGCAGAACCATGCTTGCTTTCAAAGAAGGCTTGCACGAGAAGTCGGCGTCCAACCGCCCATTCCGTTGCTGCATCTCACAGAAACTGAATTAAGTCTATGAAAGCCAAAGGCTGAGGAAGGGAGGGAGGGAGAGGAGAGAGAGGAGAGAGAGAGAGCTTCAGCCTTACATGCCATCTCGGATATTGTAGCTTGATGTGTCCCTTTCCCTTGGGCAAGCCCTTTACCATCGACGGGAGTTGCGATTTGGGGCCCCCAAAGGGGGATCGCCGAGGGGGTGAAACCTGCCAGGGCCATGAGAGGACCCATTTCGAGGAGGTTCCGGTAGAGATGCAGTGAGCCGAAATGCTCGCGATTCGCATGGGACCCCTCCACAACCCCATCCAGTTGTTTGCCCCCCCCCAAAAAAAAAACAAAAAAACAAGGAGGGCATGTTTAGGGGCGGATCTTGAATTTTGGGGGGCCTTGGAGTTTCATGTTAAGCAAGAGTGTAGTGACTGGCGTTTGAGCGAGTCTCTCTCGCCGTCAAACTGCGCAAGCTGCGTGGACTGGCATCCGGCGACGCCATGGCGACGCCCTCGGCACACGTGGAGACGGGGCGGTGGCGTGGCGCAAACGGCGCTATCCCTCGTGACACGAGAGAAAAATAATAAAATCAGATGCGCACGGAGGGTACAAGAATTCGTTTTTATGAGAAACGGTTGTCTCATGAGTTGAACTTCCTTTTATGGGAAGGCTGCATATGGTTTCGCCTCAAGGGCAAGCTCAAGGGCCCTCGCCACTTACCGGTGGTTCGGGTATATGTTTGTGGGAGGGGGGGTGACAAACCAGTGCGGCTTGGCACATTTGTTCCCCTTTTGCCGCATCCCACTGGCTGATTCAACAAGGTATGCCACTTCAATTGAAGCTTCAATCTAGATCGATGCCTTACACAAGTTGCCCAACATGGTTTATATCTCAAAGTGAGAAACGGGAGTTGAGTCATTTCCCTTGAACCTTCCACCTCAAGGGCTGCTCCCACGCCGCTGCCGCGTGAGCGGTGTGCTTTACCACTCGTGGTTTCACCGAGAGTGAGCGCGGCTGCCGGAAGTTGACATGAGCAACTGATCAGATTGGTAGTCCGACAAACCAATCTTCCCAAGGAGCGGCAACAGCCTAAGATAGGCCAATGTCCTCTTGGAGATCAGACCGGTTTCTGTCTGTGGGGGTCAGATGGGGATCTGAGAAAAATAATTACTATACTATACTGCCACACTGTTCATGACTTTGGTTTCGAAGTACCCACCACCATTCTAAAAATGTCGAGGCATCCTCATAACACGCGACCCGCTTTGATCGTTCTCCAGGCGTCAAACTTTTGGTTCAAAAACAGACACTTGGTGTCGGTGACCATGAGCCATGCAATACGATGGCAACAAGGTCTTTTGTCTTTTCTTTTTTTCCGGAATGCGGTTCAGACGGATGAATCCTTATTTGGGACAATGTGTCGGGGTGACATCTTGCCCTGTGGGGTCCTTTTTTTTTCGGATTCAAAACATAAATTAATCATTGGAGTCAGGGATGAATTCACGTGACATTCTCCAGCAGCTGGCATGCGTGGCGCTCCTTTGTACATGCGTTCGCTGCTCAAGTGGCGCTCCAAACCCAGCCGATTGATGCCGAACAAAAATCAAAAGGAGGTGCGCTGCAAGAGAAGATGCTTCAGCAAGCTGGCGCCACGCCTGGAAACATTCGCTCCCAGGCTGTGAGTTTTGAGGGGAGCTGTTGCTGGACATTTAGGAGGGGGGGTATGCCCACCACCAACTTGAGGGGGTTGCGAACACAATCCTTTAGCATACTTGCCAAGATGCAGTGAGCCGGAAAAACGCGCAAGATGGATCGAGTTGGAAGGTCGCCAACTAGATGTGAGAGTTCGGCCTGTGAAACTTGAGTCCTTCAGCAACTTTAGCTTACTCTCTCACAAAAATGCTTGTTTTCAAGACCTCAGCTATAGGAACTTCTATAGGATATTTGCCAAATACTCGCCAAAACCGGGGGGGTTTCCTGTGAAGCTTCCTGGTTCGCTGGATTCTCTTACTGTGGTGCAGTTGTGCGGCGGTCGTCCCTCATACGTCTGCACCCAGCTCCAAGCTGTTGCGAAAGCTTCTCGCAAGGCCCATTTCTATGTCCCCCAGCCTGCAGAGTCTACACCCACATTTCGAAGCTATCAAGGCAGCCTGAGCTGGAGCCGGGGGTATCCAAGTTTTTTAGATGGAGTTGTTGGGAGCCGCCAGGAGTCCCGTGAGCACATGCTACTTATGCTTGGTTAGGGTTTTATTTTTCTCGCAAGGTCCCCTGTAAGCACAGCCAGGTCCCCCAGCTAGGTGCCCGACCTCTCACCCGTTTCTTTTTTGGTTGGGAGATGCGGTTCCCCTACTAAATAGACAAGACCGAAAAAAGAAAACCGGTGCCAACTTCTTCTAACCTCTCAAATCTGGAGGAGACATGGTACTTCTACCTGGTCCGAGTTTCCTGCTCACGTCCAGACCTGAAGCCGCGACGTCCATGCCTTTCCGTGGCCCAAGTGACCGACGATGACGGCGGCCCTTTTCGCCGGGTGAGGGTCCGCGCCTCGTATTCGGCCGGCGATGCCGAACTGCGGGGTGCGAAAGAAGAGAAAACCCGCGGTGAGTGTCCAAAAAATACCGCGAGAGTCTGGGTAGTTCATTTGATAGGTTCTTCTAGACCCACTACCTAAAAACTCCCTCTGGCCGAAATACTGGCCGGATTCAAAACGGCCATGTATTGGCCAAGTGGAGGTTCCAGGCATGGAAAACCCAGTTCAGTCCTTTCAGCGGCAGTTTGCTTCGAGAATCTCTCGGAGAGAGTCCTTCGGCGAGACCCGCGCGGTCGAGCCTAGTCTCAGCAAGCTAACCTTTCGACCTCATGGTTTTCCCATTTTTCCTTTTTTGGTGGCCCCAAAAGGTGAACCTTTTGTTTTGGTCCTGGCAACTGAGACCCTGTTCCGCTGGATGGCAACTTTCTTGGCATGGCCCCTGGCTTGCGGCACTGAGCCCTGACCAACTTGTGCTTCAAGGAGACGAGTTTCTTCGGTTTGTCCGTGTCCCTTTTCCCCGGAGTTACAGCTTTTTGGGATGTTTGAAAGGTAAGCCACGCAATTTCCGCTGAAGGTTCAGCTTGACAGTGCCACACTCCATGCAGGAGAGAAGGACGAGGAGCTATACCCAATTTGATCCATGGGAGTCCCGGGTCCACACGGGTCTCAACAAAGGGACGTGCCCCCCACGTTTGGAAGCAGGCGTCTTTGTTTACTCAAGATGGGTTCATGGTTGGTTGTTGTTGTTGTTTTTTTGTTTGGGGGGGGGGTTGGGATCTTCCGGAAGCCAAATTTGAGACGTTTTGTTAACTGAAGATAGTTTTATGTCTCGTTCTTTTTTATTTTAGGGGGGGGGGGTCAAGAGGGGGTTTATGGTTGTTTTTTTCAGGGGTTGGGATCGTTTTCGAGGTTCCGGACGGGCTTCCCTCGTGTTGCACCCTTTTCCCCTTCACCTCGACGCTCGTGGAATTTCTCAGGGAGGGAGGCTCCCATGGCGTGGGAGCGGCCCGGGCTCTCAGAGTCTCAGAGTCGGAGGTTTCACTTGAGGCTTTTTGGGGTGACCGAACTCAGCTTTTAGTTCTGCGGTGTTTCCAAGCGCTGACCAGCAGAAGGTCAGATGTGTGTAGCAAAACACATGTTGCATTTGTAGCGGTGTTTTTTGGTTGCTAAAATGACCGACGCAGTCTCTTTGGTTTCCCTTCAATATCAACACAGCCACATGGCCAAGCAGAAAGTAGATGTGCCTTTTTTTGCTAACATGCGTCATTCAGGTCAGTTTGACCAACTCAGTCTCATTGGTTTCGCTATTTCAAGCTCCGAAAGGGCGCCGACTGGAAGCCAACACCACAGCCACGTTGCCCAGCTTTTGGTTTTGCTGAACCAGACGCCCTCGGGAATGGTTGGTGGACAGAGATGTCCATAGAAAGGCTTTGTTCATGAAAGGGTCCACTGGCTAGCAAAAGTCAAATTGAAATTGCAAGTGGGAGGTGCCAACATCATGGAACCTTCCAAACTTGTGTGCTCATTCTGGCTCCCAACAAAAGAAGGCTAGCCCAGCAAAACCTCCCTTTTGGACAGACTTTGGGCAACGTTTACTGGTCAAGTGAAGCACCAAAGCACGTGTTTGAATGTTCGGTAGGTGTCACCCGTACTATAAGCTGACTTGAGCTATTGACTCGCCTCAGTCGGTGCAGAATATGAGGCGAGGCCCAATGGCATGCAACAAGGACATCCGACCAATGTTCTGGAAACTGCATTGGAACTAATGTAGCTACGTCATAAGAAGGAGACACCCCATGTTGGGGCGGTGTTCCTTTTGACTTCCCTTGAAAACAACCCCAATTTGGTCGCCTGAAAAAGCTTTAAAAGAAGTTGGCACCACAGTTGGCTGGTGAGAGTACCTTTTTTCTGATCTCCGGTCAGGCAGATTGCCAACGTCCCTGTTGGCCATTCGAGTGTGTGGTTCCACTTGGTGTCATGGGGCTGTAATTGATCTCTAGCAAGGTCCATACGAGAAGTCCTAAGTAGAGCAATGGTAGCACCAACAGCCAGCTGGTTTTGGACGCACACGGCTTCGCTTTGAGGCATTTCAACAAACAGTGTGTCGAGGACTTGCATTTGAAAAGGCAGCTTGTTCGGCTCTATTGTCTCCAAGCTAACATCGATGGCCCATGTAGGTCAGTTGCTTAAGAATATGTTTTATTTTCCCCCGTTGGTTTTAAAGGGAATCTATCACTACTGGACATATTTTTATTTTTTCCAGGGGTCTTACCCAAATAGAAGTTCAAGCAGATCAAACTGGTTGCAATTTCATCATTGCCACTTCCCTGTTGGCACACCTAGCAGACTTCTGAAAGGAGACTGGGTCCCACAGCTAGGTGCTCTTTTACCAGCTTCCTAGGTCCCCCAGTTTTCTCACCGTTTCTTTTTTGGGGGAGGGGGAACCTCCTACAAAAATAGACAGAAAAAAGTTGGTACCAGCTTATTCTAACCTCTCTGGAGGACCTAGGAGACTACGTTGTTTTTTGTGGCAAGCTGGGTTTCCCTTTTCTTGGGGGCGCCTTTTGGATGGTGCGACCTGAAGGAAATCAAATCCAAACCGACCGCTCGGAAGGCTGGATGAAGGAAGCAGGCGCCGTCGACGGCAGAACGCAACGAGTGGTGACAAAATGCGAGTGGTCCATGTTTATGCGGTAGGGAGGACCACAAAAGGCACCCAATGCCCCCTATTTTCCACAAATTGGGTGGGAAATGGGCCATTCGCAAGGTAGTGGCTGCGGTTGGCAGTTGGCGGTTTCGGAATCGGTATCCTGAGCTTCAATCAAGCATTTGGCCGGCACTTTGAGCTGACGAGGGAAGCACTCGTATAGAACTCACTTTTTGAGTTCCTGGACTTTAAACTTTTTGGGAAGACCATTTTAGTGATAAGCGAACAGTGTGCACTTGTTCTCGCAAATCTACTCTGGAACTGAAGAAAAGAGGCTGTTTTAAATCGCAAGCCCTCTCCGTTCCTTCACATCACGAATGGAATACGAAGAACTTGTACAATCCGTAGCCACCCCGGAGTTCTCAAATGGACACCCCATAGCAAGTTTGATCTCGTTACATGGGTTTGGGCAAAGGGTCAGCTCGCTACTTGTGCAAACAAAAGCCAGGCTCCGGCAATTGGAGGACGATTCCACTGCTGACATGTGAAGCACGCTTGGACCCCCTGAGGGGTTTCAAACCCAGAGTAGCCTTTGATGTCCCATCAAGTTTTTCGCTGCCAGGTGTCATCCATTAAATTGCCAAACATAGCAACCATAGGTGTCCTTTTTGGTTGTTTTGCTGGAAAAATAGATGGCCCTGGTTTACCTGGTGGTTTAATCATCTACCAGGGCCATCTATTTACCCTAAAAGGACACCTATGATAGCAACCAGTGGACAACGGCTCTCATGGGCCAAGACCGGGCCTTCACAGCCTCAGTGCTCGCTTCTTCAAACCTCAAAAAGCAGACACGTGCCCAAAACAAGAAGACATCCCTCAGATGACTGGTTCAGGGAAAAACAACATTCTCTGACGCACCTCCGGCCAACATGAAACCCACCAGGTCCAAAAAGGAAAGAAGCCTGGCCTGACGCTTGCACTGCTCGAGTTTTGTGCAGGGTACCCTTCTCAGGCTGGTTTTCAGGGGAGCCCAAAGAATAGCAAGCATTTTGGGGTCTCCCGTTGTTGACACACAGCCCCAGGGATGGTGCACGCCACACTGTGCTTCCAGCCAGCGCCGCCCGCTTTTAGCTGATATTCAAAGAGAACCAGATACCTATTTTGAGAAACCCTCGCCATCCTCACGGTTTCGCATGCCTCAGGAGCTTTCTGACGCCTCGTCTCTTCTCTGTATCCGTCTCATAGTTTCTATGTTCATGTTGCAAGAATCTTTGTTTAAAATGTCAATCATAAGATAGAGTTAAACCTAATTCTACAATTCAAACATAATATATTAAGTCAATTAGAGAAGAGACACGGATAGAATGCGATACATGCTAGGACAGACAAACAATACATATATGGAAAGTAGGAAGCCCGTCACTGCGGTGCCAACGCATCAGCGCATTGCCGGAGACCAGACCAGTCCAGCTGATGTTCCTGACCATCTAAACCTGGATATCCGGCCTTTGATTTCCGTTGCGGCTGTGTCCTTCTGGTTTCCCCTTCGCCTTGCACCATCGTGGTCAAAGCTCCCATGCAAATTGGAAGGCGAGTAAAACCTCTCCAGGAAGGTTTCCGCGCCAGGGGGTGCCGTGCTCTTTGCGCTGTCGGGCCACCAGGCACGGCAGGGGAAACAGAGATGCCAAGATCCGCAAGCCCAGGGTAGCCTCAAAGCCCTCAAAGTCAGAGGCTGTTGCCCGTTTAGATAGCGGCAGGTCTGGGAACTCACCTCACCTTCTGGGGGGTCTCAAGGTTTTGATTTTTTCGGTGCTGTTTTGGCGCGGTGTTTAAATGAGGACCTAGGGAAACCACAGGATGCCGCCAGCTGTTTGAATGACCCCTACTGAGTTGGGGCAAGGTATGTCACAGTGGTGAGCAACGCCAGTTGTAGCAGTTTTAGGTGACTTGCCGTACCATGGTAAGCGGGCTACCACCATGGCGACTAATCACTCACCTGACACACCTTGACCCTTGAGACTCCAGCGAGTGAGCAATGAACCCCAAAAAATGAGCTTTGCTTAGGGGACCCCCCAAAAAGGCTTTCTAGTTTTCCTGTTGGTTTCCCTTTTTCACCGGCAAACAAGTGGTACCAACTCCAATAAAGAAGGACACATGCGGGTTGAGCAAAAGATCCTTTAGGATCACCATTGGGGGAAACCACCAAAAACATGATACTTCCCACATGGGGAAAGCTACCCATGGTAACAATTGGGCGTGCCTTTTTTCCAGGGGGATTGCGGTTTTCTGGTTGGTGTCCCTTTAAAACCTGCAGAAAAGTGGTACCAACTCCAAAAAAGAAGACACGCCCATGTTTAAACAGACCTTACCTAAATCCCCGAGGATCCATATCCCAGCTGCCCAGCGGAACCCTTTTTCCTTTTTTTGGGAAGGGTTCTCCTTTAGAGTCAACCAACCAAAAAAGGATGCACGTTTGTCCCCATGGCCACTGGGCATTTGAGATATCGAATCATCTTGGTAGAACTCCATAGGGTGTCAGGTCAAGAGCAGCTGCTGACAGTGGGGCGCTCAGGGAGCCCAAGCGGGGACGACGACTCGATCCAACGTGGCGAACTTGCGATGGGTGCGATGGGGTCCCTGTGGTTGAATGAACCGGGTTTGGGTTGGATTCCCGAATAAAGGAAACCAGCAGTTGGATGGCTTTTCCTCGGGTCATTCCATTTCTCATTCCCTGCCTATCGCACCAGAAAGTAAACGTAGGTGTCCCCTTCGTGTCGGCAAGGCAGACAGATGATTGAATTGACATGCCTGTGCCACCTACTTTTTGTGCACAACATATGTACATTGCACTTCATGGTGTCCTGTGTGTATGTATCATGTTGAACAACAGTGTTTGAGAGGGATTCATAGTAACATCTTATGTCCGAAGTGAACTGGGAGCCAATTGCTACTCGTTTGCTTGCTATGGTCTCAAAGAATGGAGCAAGATGCTTAAAACTAGGAAAGGCGAGATGTAGTGAATGTCACCCGCCAAACTATATGCTCCTCTTGGCAGACCAAGTAGTCGGGCGGTTGTTTTCCAGAGCATCCGCGTAGAGTTTCTTTGTCCATCTTGCCTTGGCAACATTCAAGTGTGGGAAGGGAGGCGCCAAGTGTGAAGAGAATTGTAAGCTGCAAGCTAGGTTTGAAACTGTTCATGGAGGATGTCCCCACTGACAAGTGGCCAGGCGGCCACATGTCAGACCGGACCTACGCCTTCACCTTGCGGGGAGCAAGCACAGCTCCTTTGCGGTGCTCGCATGTACCTGTGGAGCTGCCTTCCTTTTTCTCACTGTCAGCTCTTTGCCACAAGATGGCTGGCAGCCTTCGAATGTTCCCATTGTTTGTCAGGGGTCTTTGGAAGCAATCCGATTTTGGTGCCCCTCTATTGAGGTTATATGGTGCAGCGTCCCCAACCGCCCCCCCCCCCCCCCCTCGGGGGAAATCTTGTTTGGTCGTCACCTGTTACCAGGCAGCTCCCCCTCCAATCCTGGAACGTGGCAGCTTCCCCTGTCGATGTCCTGGCGCCCGTTTTTCGCGCTGCCATCGAAGCCAAGCTGTTGGGTACCTGTCCCACAAAGCCCTGTCACATGGGAGGGGGGTGTTCAATTTGTTATCCCCCCCCAAAGAAAAAGTTACTCTCAGCGCAGATATTTCCCCCAAAAAGACAAAGCACAAAAAGTGAGTGTCAAAATTGTGATGCCCAATCCGTGGCTGGTGCCAGCGACCGAATCGGGGGTTCGAGAGTTGTCTCTCAGGTGGGGAGCGTCGAGGCAGGAATCGGACACTTTTGGAGCCATGGAGCCATGGCCTCACTTCCAAAGTTCATGAGCTTTAAGGAAGACCATTTTAGTGGTACATATGAAGTTTGGACTTTTTTGGGCCATCCGCTCAGCAAGTGAATGGCTTTGGCCAAAACACAAGATTCCCGTGGCTCCCCTCCTTATGGGGAGCTTTGTTTTCCGTGGCAAAAGGCCGTTCTCCGTGTGTTGCCTTTTCCGAAAAGGGGAGCACTTCTTGTAACCCCTGGAGTTTTTCTAAGGGGAACTTGGGAGTTGGCGATTTCTCATACATCTGCCTGATGTATGGCAAGCTCTGGGGACAACACGAGCTCACCAGGGCAAAGATATGGCTGTGGGTCAAAAGTAGGTACCCAAATTGGAACCCTGGTAAATGGAAGCACGGACTAAAACCCTGTGATCCTCCGGTGGCTTAATTTTGACCCATACCCATATCCTTTATTAAGGGGTCCAAGTCTTATTTCAGGTTTTGGCACATCAAAAGTAACACAAATGCAGATACATTTTTTCTTCGAGGGCACGGGATGGATCAATCGAGCCAATCGAGGGCGCTCCCCTGGAGGCCGGCAGCAGCGGTGGCGTCAAGATGGACTTCGAGGAGTTGCTGGGGGAGGAGCAGCCCATGGAGCTCTGGTCGCGCCCCCTCCGAGGCCTGGGGGCGAGGTCGGTTTTGGTTGAACCTGCAATAGGCGGGGTTTCTCGAGATTTCGGGTGTTATCCGGGTGTTAAGTTACCCAAAGGGTTCCCTAATGGGCCCAAATGAGTAGCATGGGGTATGGGATGGGGTCGATGTTGGTTTAAAGGGCCTGGATCGATCCAGTTGCTGGATTTGTGTCCAGCCACTTTACCGTCCAAAACCAGCAGTGACTGAAAATAACGATCGCACCTTGGCTATCTCGCGACCTGCAGTATCAGCGTCGCTCCGATTGGTGGTTTGGATCCGGGGGATTGAGCCCCTGGTTGTTATAAAGTTGCATTTCGGGTGTTACCCTGGTGTTCCCCGATAAAGCTAATCTATGGGGTTAGAGAAAAACCACCGAGCTCCAAACCACCAATTGGAGGGACGCTGATACTGCAGGTCCCTAGATAGCCAAGGTGCTACTTTTGTTCAGTCACTACTGATTTTTGGATGGTACACTGGATGAAAACAATCCAGCAACTGGATCGATCCAGGCCCTTTAACCAAACCGAAGCCCATTCTAGAACCCCACAGATTAAGGGGCCCTTTATTGGGGAGCACCCGGTAACACCCGAAATGGGACCTGTTGTCAGCTTCCCTTTAATCAGTGGCATGTACCCTTTACGACAACCAGGCACTCAATTCCCCATGATTGGAACAAAGTATTGCCCCTCCCTTGCACTGACATGGCACTTGACAGAGGATCTCTCTTGAACAGGAAATCGATCTTCCAGACACCCTCCCACAGGTGCTACGTTTGTGGGAGGAAGGGTAGCAACTTAGGCCCTGGCGGGCTGCCGGGGTGTCAGGCTCCCTGAAGAGGGTCTCTACCGTCGGTCTGCAGGGTCTTTGTAATCGTAGAGTTTCCGGGGCCCAGCGCTTGCCCAACTTGTCAACCATGGCGCGAGCCAAACCCAGTAAACCCCATAGAGGTTTGTAACTCCATGTGGGTTTGTCTCAAAATGGGAGTTGGACCCCCTCCCCAAAAAAAAGAAAGCGTTAAAACCCGACAAAAAGTCGGGCACCAACTCTGAAGAAAAGGACGCCCTGCCAAACAGCGACCCTCTAAGAAGCTATCTCCAAGGAATTCTCTGGGAAATTTGACACAACAACCAGTTGGGCCAACGTGGCCAATCTCCTGGAGATGGTTTCTTCACCCATCCAGTCTACCAACAGATGTGGTGTCTCTTTAAAACACAGGCGATACCCTCAAAAACAAACACAAACGGCACACCACCATCGGGGTTCCCCTCAAAACCGCCACACAACTCCCAGCACCCCTCAAAAAAGCAAGAAATTCCCCTCCTCCCCCCGTGTTTCTTTTCTGTACAAAGGAGGACAACACCCTGGCCTGCGAGAAATCCCCCCCCCAATCCAACACAACCAACAAGCCACGCGAAACACCTCCCTGGCCATTCCCTGCCCTCCCCGCCTAATCCGCCCAATCCGCCCCGCCGCATCCGCCCCGCTCGCCCAGGGCCGTGGTCCAAGTCACTGCTGGCCTTCCCTCCCAAGAGCCGCCTGGGCTTCAGCCTCACGCCGCTCAGCGAGCAGCGGCTGCTGCTCTTCGGGGGCAAAGCCAAAGACCGCTGCCTCGCGGATCTGCGCCTCGGAGCGAAGCTGCCCCGAAGAGGTCCTCAGTGCAGTGTGTCTTACGGTCTTACGGTTTAGGGATCAAAATTTGGCCATGGCTCAGAACCGTTCTGGGAACCCATTTTGGGATAGGTGCACCACCTATTTTAGCCTATTGTAGTGGTGATTGCGATGTTTACTGGGGGTAGGGGGTTTTGACCCATGGCCATTTTAGGACTAGGGGTCCATGGTTGGGTTGGGTTGCGGGAGCTTGTTGAGTCGGCAAGCATGAAGCAAGTTTTTGGCTCGTGCGTGTCTTCATTGGTTGAGTCAAGATCCAAACGATCAACTGACCAGGGTGCACGGGTGTCCCCTTTGGAGACAACTCTCAACTCTGCCGCCCAGCATGGAAGTGTGCAGCCAAGTTTTGCGGAGATAGCTTGTTTTGGAGACACTGGCGGAGGCCTGTGCAGTTCCAAGCTTGATAGGGGGAATAGTCTTGTTGTCAAGAAGCGATTCGGCCCCTTTTTGCGTGCGCAGATTTTTAGAGAGCCCTGCCACAAGCGAAGAATGACGATGTACAGAAAAGGCCACCAAAGCAAACATTTACAACCGTTGTTACCCTCCCACCAATCAACATGGAACCTGACCCCGTGAACGTCAAGATCCATGTGAAAAGGGTGGGAGGGTATGAACGTTTGGAGAAAGGACCCCTATCCGGGATTACAAGTTGAATTTCATGTGATATGACATATAGATGCACCAACCAAATGCCCAAGCCGTATTTGGGGTGACTGTGAGTTCCTGAGATGACCAATCAATTTTCCGTGCTCCCTTGTGCTGTAGGCATGTCTTGCAGCTGGAGCATGGAAAGGGAGACAGGACCGACAGGACCGACTCAGCGGGGTGTGAAAGCAGGTCTTGCTTCTCTCGGAGCCTTCCAGGCTTTGTTCAAAATCAATCCTCCTTTGCATCCTTTTGCCAGGGGCCGGTGGTTTCCCTCGTGCAGATTAGGGACCACCCCGCATTTCGAATTTGAGGAACCTGGAGCGAACCGGGATGGTGGTCTTACTCTTGCTTCGTTTTGGGGTGCCCGCCCTTATCCCTGGTCCGTTTCCATGGGAAACAATTCCGCCGATGGGCTATTTGTGCACCCAACGCCCCTGCTGGCCTGTTGGCCAATTTAGGCTTCCACCCAGTTTAAAGTTATAGATGTCCATGTCGCCAATTGCTTTGAGGCCCTCCCATTCAACATATCCATTGGTACCCGGTGGGATATTTGAACTCCGCCACTTGGATACTGCAAATGTGTCTCAGCACTGCTGTGCGATCGAAAAAAGGCAGCCACCTCAAGTTCAATGAAGTTGGGGGCGCAGGACGGGATATTTTCCGTTTGGTTCGATCCCCTGTTTGAGAAGTCGAAGTCTCGAATGGAATTGAACAAACTTCACCCCTCGATCCCAACACCCCGACCCAGTCCCACTCCGATCCAAGGCTCTCGTTCCCCAAACACCGTCCTCGGTGTGGCCAATCTGTTCAGTCGCAGGACAGAGAGTGAAGACTCAGGCAGCGAGGCAACGAGGGAGAAAGACGCCCCGGTATAATGATTGTTATCTGTTTTCCGTGTTTCTTTGTTGTTTCTTTTTTTTTCTCAGCTGACCAGAACGTCAATTAGAATGTACCTTGGTATAAGAAACACTTGTATATTTGTATACCTGCATTTAAAAATTGTATAATGTGAAAGATATACACATATGTGTGTCCATCAATATATAATTGCTTCCGCCTAATGGTGTGACCCAGGCATGATAGGTGTGTCCTCTCCTTGGCAAGTGCGGATGGCTCCATTGTCGGATAGTGAGCCTTTCCACCACTTCCTCTTCAGGTTTGGTCTTCTGCGCGGCTCAGAAATGACCAGAATTGCTACTGCGGGTCTTTTTTGGCGCATCGAGGTTGTGAGTGTTCATGTCGTGAAATATGCGTTCCTGCGCTGTTGCCGGCCACTTGTCAGCCTGTACTCGTTGTCACCTCTTTGTGGTGGGTAGAACGCCAGGGGAGAAGTGGAATGTGGAAGCATCCCAAACTGGAAAATGTCAGGTTTGACGTTCTCTTACATGAAATGATATAAACCAAGCAACCATATATTCTTGGTAGTATGCCTGTAGCAAGAACTGGATTTTGCTTCAGTCTTGAACTTCCACCCACGCAGGCCACACAGTCCGCGGTTTTCTTCTCATATCTAAACCGGGCAACGCGCGGTTGCAGTCTTCCGTCGGGAAAACAAACACTTAGCTTAGCTTTGTTTTGTTTTGCCTTGTTTGTGTTACTCCATTTCCACTTTTGCCTAGCAGAAGCAGAAACACGTTGCAGGTCGAGGAGCTTGTTTCATCTTGGTGGCTTCCTTCCTTTCCCAAGGAGCGTGAAAACTGGATGCCTGTTCTCGGCACCCGAGACAACACCGGCTGAATTTGTATGGGCCCTGCAAACGGTTGATTTGCTCTTTGAAGCCATCCCAAGGGCACTAGAGATTGTCACATAATTCCATTTGCTCATGTGTTTTGACTATTCCCAGTTGGTAGAGGGAAAAGTCATGCCTGACGCATTGTTCTGTGGCACCTCAGGCAAACGCAAAAGAATAGTTTTATATGTACGGTGCAATTTCACCTGGAGGTCGTGGTTCCCTTGTAATGGGTTTTGATGGCAAGCCAGGGGCCAAGTCAGCCGACATCCGAAGGCTCCAGTCTGTGGCATCGGCAAAGACCAGTTCACTCAACCAGCCAACAAACCAACGAGCCACCGGACCCGTCATCCATTCCATTCATCCATCCAACCGACCATCCATCCACCAACTATCCGACCAACCAACCCAAGAAGAAAACGATCAATCAAGCAGAAAACGATCTTGAATTGGATTCACGATTGTGCAAAGTTGGTTTTGTGCTATTTTCTGCGATACACTTGGGAATGCCCCTCTGCAGTGATACAGTCATCATAAACTAATGGGGATCTCACGTTGGTATCACAGAGAAAGTTTTTTTTGTTCCCACAACCGTGATTATCAGGTTGCCCCAACTTGGTGGATTGGCGGTTTGAGAAACAGCCCAAACCTTTGCCGCAGGCTGAGGCCATTTTCTTTGCCGCAGACTACCGAGCGGCGTGTGGGGCCTTCAACTTAGAACCGGGCGGGACCGATGGCGCTTGTAAGGGACCGGTGTGTGAACTTTTCAGAGATGACTGTGAGGTTATGCTTGGCTA